TTTATAATGTCATAAATTATTAATTTACTGATTATGTCGAGTCTATATTTAGACAGTACAACTTCCTTTAGTTATTCTATTTTTGATTTATTTAGATGAGTGGCAGGCACAAAGTACACAAAATTTATTTGGAGTGCTTTGTTAACAGTTGTAAACATTAAGTTAAATGACAAACAATCGTCTTGAAAAGAGTAGATTATTCATTAGCTCTTTCTGTATCTACGACGAATCACATGTACAAGGTAAGAAACATAATATATATATTGCTATTATAGCACGATGTTGATACAATATTAAAATAGTTATAATACTGCACATCAGTATAAAGAGGCAAAACAACATGAAATATTTTTTTTCAGATGTCTTCATGAAGTTCTTTTTCTGGACTGATTTTCTAGCCTTTTTCTATTGGTTAAGATTATTGGTCTATAGCTGTTCAGTCATACTTTTCGATAATTCTTCTATGGTTTGTTGTTTTTGGTTTTTGTTTATGTTGTTTGTTTTGTTCACATGTTAATGAATCTTTTTCTTAAAGATGTAGTTAACTCACGTACCTTGAATAAAAAAAAACATCCAGGTAAAAATCTGAAAAATGAAGCATCTTGATAACTTTTCAATGGTCTATCTTATATTTTCCTGTGAATTGTGCATCCAAAAAATAGAACAGCCCTCTTTGTTGATAATTGGGTTTTTTTTCATCCATTTTGTTGGGTAAATGATTATGAATTTACTTATTTGTAAACAACCAAAGAAGAAAACTTATTTCCTAATTCTTTTTCCTAGTTTGCGTTTCAATTGATTGATGAGAAAGAGGATAAATAATTAGAAAGCTAGTGTGAACTCCGAAAAATACCAAGACCGTATCAACAGATTTTCAGTGATTATTTTACAAGTACTACATGTTGTTCTTCACTTAACTATTTTACGTGCTTACGAAATGTATCATTTTACTTACTTTACAGTTTTTCCTTTATTACCATGTGTGCTGCTTTGTTAATATTGGTCGTATATCTCTTGTCGTGACTCTGCATTCATTCATCCAATTATAATGTTTTAGACTTTGGGCATTATTGGTGCAAATGGGTCTAGAGGTGCGTTTCGAACCTAGGAGTTTTTACAGTTTTGTTTTCATTTTATAAAACCTTGTATCTATATTTTACTTAATGTGTACTCTTTTGGGAAAATGTATACTTTATACTGTATAAACTATCAACTACATAAACTTTGGTTTTTGACGTTTTTGCAAGATATACTTGTCTTATTGTTTGCATTTAAGGTCAGTTGTAGGGTATGTATGTGATGTAAGTTTACAACGTTTTGGCTGCTGGATCCCAACTATTGATACATTAACTAGTTATGTCTGTTTTGGTTGCGCATCCAAAACTTGTCAATGAAAAGCATACAGGTAGAAGTTATAACTAGCTGTAAAACTAGGTTCAATCATTTGTTTTCTACGGACATGCATGTGCCAAGTCAGGAATAAGACATGGGATTTCTATCGTTCAGTTTGTAGATAAAGTCTTACGTTTGATTTTGTCAGTTTTCATGGATTTCCCCTTTTGATTTTACTTTGAAATTAGTCATGGTTGTTACAATTTGTTTGGATTAGTCATGGAATTCCTATATTATTTATGACAGATATAAAAAGGATTCCCGTTACGTGAAACAGTTACGCCCATTTTTTTAACAGTACATTTTTTTAAATTTATTTCAGAAAGGAAAGATAATTTTTTGTTTACTTTTACATTAAGTCTAGTAGGTAAGAAGAACTGTGGCACCTTCAAAATGATTTTTTTTTTTATTTACTTTGTTTTTTGTATATTAATTACTAGTGTTTTCAATTGTTTGGACGTTTACGAACCAATATACGTGTTTTCATTCACGATGTGAAAAACATTTTTGCCGTTGAATGTTGACTGCCGTCATCTCTATGTTGTTTTCGTATTTTGTCGGATCCCCTTCAAATTATTCTATATCAATGTGGCCTCTTGGAATTTGAGGTAAAGTTTCCAATCATCAGAGCCTCAATTGCATATGATGGTCAGAAAAATCTGAATTAGAGAATAAAGTAATGGGCAGGGAAGGTAACGAAATATATTTAAATGTACCTTTTATGTCGTTATTTTACTGCCGAATAGCTAATAAGTTGGCATAATTTGTAAGACAAGTATGCTTTTCGAAATCTTTATTGAAATCAATTATGCCTAAAGGATGCCAAAAATTGGCAGGCAGTTCCCTTTTAATGTTAAGGGCGGAGATATTTGATGTCGCTTATTACGGGTCTTTGATTCTTTTTATGATATTCACTGACGTCAGGTTATTAGTTGAAGCTTTTTGGTGTTTCAATATTCAGGGGTAGTTTTTTTGCTTATAACATGGTAAGAGATTACTCACCATTAATGACAGTATGGTAACCGGTGGTTGTTTATATATGCGTTCTATTGTTCTGTAATCATTAACATTTGTAAATGAGAATACAAGGATTTGATATTTATGATATGATTGATTCAAATTTAGAATACCATCTTTTCATTAAGTCATAGATTTTATAAAAACAATTTTCAATCAGCAATTACCCACCAATTGATATAGACCATGCTCACAACCGTAAACAGGTTGTTTTCGTAACATTTAAATCTTGGGTCATCACTAAAAGCATAAATAAGAAGATATGGTTAGAGTGCCAATGAGACAACTCTCCGTTTAAGCCACAATCTTTATTTACAAAATTAACAATTATAGGTCAAAGTGCGGCCTTCAACATGATGTCTTGGCTCACTGCGAACTGCAAGCTACAAAGGCATAAAACATAACCAGTGTAAAACAGTTAACAGGAAAACTGATATATTTAAACAACAACAAAAAACAACGAGAAACGAGAAACACTTATGGAAAGTTTCCTGTCGGTTTTCAAAAGCATCCCGGATGTGAAAAACTTAGCTGGAGACATATTGTATGATAAGAATGCACATCATATTTCAAACACTTTTAAATGTTACCTATGACAGCTAATGTTCTTGTAGTATAACGACGTCTCACTGCTTCCTCACGCTACTAGTATATTTGTTCACAAAAGTCATCCAGCCCTCTTTAAAGGATTGATTATCGACCAGTTTTATATAACTTACATTTTTAAAGAATTCACCGCCGTCATCCTGTTCTACTCGAGCATGATGTTCATTATCACATTTGTGAATAGTTTCCAGTTTTCTAGTTTAAACATATTTTATTGTTCAACATGACAAATGGATCAGACACAAGTTTTACAACTTTGTAACGTCTTCTCCAAAACAAGAAAAATATACACATTAATTAATGAACACATCAAATATTTCATACAAACAAATAATTCAAGCATAAAGACATGAATACAAAAGTAAACTTGTTGAAGCGAATCAATGGATTTTAATCGAGTGCATCTTTTTACAGTTTTAAATAAAACACAAACACACCTAATTGTTTGTGTGGAATTATCTATGCGCAAATCATTTCATGTGTAGAAATAACTTTAAGTGTTAATAAGTGTGTGTGTGTTTGTCATAATAATGTGTGGAATCTAAATATAATATGTAAGTTTAAGGAAAGGATGTAAACTACACTATGGTAAGTATATATTTGAAATTTAATTTTATATTCTTTCGTTAAAATCCATTGAATCGTTATTGATACCATAACATAACAGTAGTTATTCATCAAGATCATTTAATTATTGCCATTACATGTATATAGAAATATCTTTAATCAAATGTGTTGTTAACAGAATTAAGGTTGTCAATGCAGAGGAAACGTTTGGTATTTTTTATATACTTTTGAACAGATAAACAAATATTATCATTTTCTTCAGTACTTAATGAATCATCACCAAATAATAATAAATCGATAGTAATATTGACATTAAAGACATTCATTTCGTTTAATATCAGTTTTCTATGAGTTGAAAAATTAATACAATATAGTAAATAGTGTTCAACATTTTCATTGTTAAAACCACATGAACAATTGGCATTTTGTATCAAATTTGCTTTCAACAAGTCAGCATATAGAGCTCTACATCCGTTACGTAGCCTTGTATGTAAAACAGAATACCAACGATCTCCTGAGGAACCATATCTCAGAGATTTATTATTGCTATAGTATAGTTTATGCAAATTTAATTTAAAAAAGGAAAATGTAGGAATCTGTCTAATACGTAAGTCTAAAGAATTCCACAATGCAATAGATGACGGAAAATAAGACTGTCGATATGCTGATAAACGATTTACGGGAATAGTAATATTTAGACTGTTACGCAAACTATAATTACTAATATCTGATACAAAATCCAGAACCAAATCGTGTAAATAATCTGGCGCTTGGTTATTAATAATCTTATAAAACATAGCTAATTTTTTAACGTCCCGTCTGACGCTTAATTTTTCCCATCCCGTCTCTAAGTAGATACTGTTCCGGCTAGCGTAACTTGGTAATCCCGTAACTATTCGAGCTATTTGTTTTAGGTAATTTTGTCATATAGCTCTTCAACTGTTTCGGTACTTATACATCCCTCGGATTTCAAAAGTTTGGCATTGAGCGTTCCTGATGAAGGTAAATCCAGTAAAACGCTTCGGACGCATGAAATTATTAAACGTGTTGTTTTCTATTTTTATGCATATGGGAATGTTAATTTCTGGCTGAAAATCCAGTTCTCCTAACGTAATGAGTCAATCAAGAAATCAAAAATCCTGATAATGTCAGTTTCAGAGAATTTTTTGTTCCAATCAGATTATGTTTTTACAAAGTTAGTTTTATTACTTGTGTGAAATGCACGCCAATGAAAATACATATTGCACATGTTTTTTTATGTAACGAACATTGAATCACACGGCAAACAGTTCAGATTGAATTTATCAGATTATTTAAAAATGAATTCATATACCCTACATTATTTTTTAGTCCTTCGACTATAAACAATTGTAAATATTTTTTTTTATTATGATCTATTTACATTTCGTATATTACAGGGTTCATCTTGTAATAAAAGAATTATTCACTGATGAGTTAAACAACTTTTATCATGACGGGATCAGTTTATATAACCCTCTTGATACTAACGTTGACGACATTTGCACATAAATGTCAAATAGAACGACACGCGGATCAAATAATTGCAGATTGCACCAGACTTGAATTAAAAAATGTGCCGACAGGTTTACCGGTAGACATCTCAGGTCTTGATCTGAGCTACAATCAGATTTCCACGATAAAAAAGAAAGCCTTTGAATCTTTGTCAAATTTGACAGCTCTGACGATGGATTTTAACAATATTCAAACTATAGATGGTGATGTCTTTAATGGTTTGGAAAATGTACGATGGCTCTCAATGAAGCACAATCAACTTAACACATCTTCTAAAATATTTGACAATGTATTTAAACCGTTATCACAACTGAAACACTTAGACATCAGATACAATATAAATAAAAGGTTTAATCAATCAAAACCAATGGTTTATCCTTACTTTGGAAACCTGCCTAAAGTAACCGATTTATATATGGATCTTGCACAAAACCCTGTATTCAAATTAAGTGGATTCGAGAAAATAATAAACCTGAGCACAATAAGATTTGGAAAATGCTATTTGAACCAGATGTCTAATGACACCTTAGTAGATTTACCACCAACTATTACTTCAATCTACTTTCACGAGTGTTTCGGTACAATAACGATTGTAGAAGCAGATTTTTTAAAGCCGTTTCCATCACTTATGATATTCAATATGGAAGGAGTTGCTATACAATTAGAAGATGCTTTAAAACTTCTTTATCCTTTTGCATATAAAAGAATGACTTCCATCATATTCAAAGACATTAGATCTCATTTTCCTAAACCTGTTTTCTTATCTCACGATATGATTACTTATTTGTTACATATTTGTGTTAAAACCTTAGTTTTAGCAGAAAGTGAAATTATAGGATATGAGAAAGGTCTTCTACTTGATTTTGAATCTCCCCAATGTCTCGAAAATGTTGTTTTATCTGGCAATCGATTTTCAATAGCATTAGGTCCTCATTTGCAGGAGCTAATGAGAATTATGAAGACGACGATCAATTTGAAATTTTTTGACTTGTCGTATAATGCAATTAACTTCAACCATATTGAATACTGCAACTTAAACGTGCTGGAAAATCCTTCTTATAGAAAGGAAGTATATAGAGAAGGATGCCAAATTAAATCTGAACCTCCAAATGAATATACAAATTACAACTCAGTATTAGAAAAGGCTCAAATGGTTGATGAACCTACATTCACGATTTATTTACCTGCCAATCTTACTTTTCTTCGTGTTTCCCATTATATGACATCGTATATACAAACGGGACAAAAGTTATTTTTTGCGAATGTCAATAACCTCAGATACGTAGATTTTTCATACTGGAAGATAAAGCAGTTTCCAGAAATATATTCCGTTACTCCTTTTAATGTGAAATATTTGGACATTTCTGGACTTAACTCAACGATACTTATTCATGAGACGTCAGTACCTTTTTTTCAAAATGTCCAAACAGCTATTTTAAAAAATGCAATGCTTGGTCTTACGACTGGAAAAACTGGTAAAATTTTCAAACTATTTCCGGACGTGAAAAAACTAGATATATCTTACAACAACTTATGGTATCTGGATGAAGATGCCTTTGAAACAAACTTGAATTTGTCAATTGTTAATATAGCACACAATTTACTGCCTGCTATACCTATAGCTGTGATAGATTTGCCCTACTTAAATAAATTGGATTTAAGTTACAACCGCCTTCAAACCATTAATAAAACATTCAGAGACTGGATGGATAAGAAAAGTAAAATCTATGAAGGGACGTTTAATTTATTTATAGAAGGGAACAGTCTGAAATGTACATGCGAAACTTCTGATTTTATAAGGTGGCTTTTCAACACAAATGTTGTTTTTGATCGGGTCAATAAAAATTTCAGCTGTACATTGACAAATGGATCAGGAGGTAACACAATTGATGTCTACAAACGATTTCATGAACACTTTAGCAACTGCAATAGCAAACATTGGTTGCTCGTAGGAATTGGACTTCTTGTCGCATTTGTTATTTTCACTGTTCCGTTTGCAGTTATTTTTAATTTCAGATGGAAAATAACTTTTTGGATATATCGGAAATTTAAGAGAGTCGTAGAACATAAATTAGAGAAAAAATTTAATTATGACATTTACTTGTCATATGCAGATGACATGCTACAGTGGATTCAGGTCGATTTTCTCCAGAGAATTGAGAATTCATGGAGCATGAAAGTATGCATAGAGGACCGCGATTTCCAAATTGGACTAACCAAAGCAGACGAAATAGCACATGGTATTGCTGGTAGCAAACATGCAATTATTATTCTGTCTGAGTCGTACCAGGACAACGAGTGGAACAAATTTGAAATCGAAAGAGTCAAATTCGAAAAATGCAGAAATTATTTGCAAAAGATAATCATCCTTGTAAAAGAAGCTACAGCCTCATGCGTTCCACAGGAACTAGACGACATTCTACAAAATGTCACTATAATAGAATGGGATGACAACGAGACTGGCTGGGACAAACTGCGAATGGCATTGTTTACTGATTCCTTTTAATTCAACATGTTCATGAAAGGTATAAATCATAAACAATGTGAAATTGACCAAAAACCACTTCTGACGGTACATTATGTTAAACATGCAGCTAAAAAACATTGAAAGTGTATCTTTGCCTAATCATTGCTTTACAACAAGACTTTTCTTTCTTCTATGATATTAGGGTATATTAAGTATAAGGCATATGTAAAACAAAAATCCATATATGTCAAGCTGACCAGAATGTATTTGCAGGAAGTCTATTATTGATATTAATTGTAAAGAAATCCCCAATCCAAGTGGGTACTTCAAAATTTTATATACTTTATACTTTGATTAAGCTGTTAGCATTTACGATTGTATTGTCATACACGACGATTAAGGTAAAGTAATAAAATATATCACATTGTTTTAAAGACTTTAAAGGTAAAACAAGAAACAAATATTGAAAGCATTAATATGAATTTTAATTCCTTAATATGTTTTATCCATTCATTATTGCTTAGATTTTCCATTTGTCTTTACTTTTAACCCTTCGTTTGATGTTTCGTTACATAATCTAAAAATATTGCGGTACTCACACAAAAAAATGTAGGTTCAAGTTTTTGAAAAACTATAAAACTGTGAACAAAATTATTAAATATATTTTTAATACAACTTTATATCGGAGAACTATTAAGGTGAACATAAATGTTGTTTGTTAACGTTTCGTATATTGCTTTTTTTAAAGTGCAAAATTGTTAAAAGATACAGTCTATTTATGTATGGATCTTGCGCAAACACCTGTATTGAAGTTAAGTGAATTTGCAAAAATGTCGAAACTAAAAATTATAATTAAAGTTTGCACAATGCTATTTAAACCAGATGTCTAATGACACTTTAGTAGATTTACCATCAACCATTACTGCAATCTACTTTCACAAGTGTGTCGGTAAAATATCGATTGTAGAGGCAGACTTTTTGAAACCGTTCCCATCACTTATGATATTAAATGTGAATAGAGTAGCTATACAATTAAGAGATGCTTTACAACTCTTATATTTTTTCAAGAATACAAGAATGACCTCGATTATCTTCAAACAAATTAGACCTTAGTTTCCTAAACCTGTTTTCATAACTATTGTTATGATCAATTATTTGATACATATTTGTGTAAAAACTTTAGTTTTAGCAGAATGTGAAATTGTAGGATATGATCAAAGATCTCTACTTGCTTAAGTCCGTTACTACAAATGAACATAAAAATTACAACTCAATATTAAAAAAGGCTCCAATGGTCGAAGATTCTAAATTCAAGATTTATTTTCCGGGTAATCTAACTTTCCTTTGTGTTTTCTATTACATAACATCATATGTCGTGTACCCACTAAAATAGTTGTGGCCAATGCCGATAATCTAAAATATGTAGATTTCTCATACTGGCAGATAACGCAGTTTCCTGAAATATATTCAGATACTCCTTTTAATGTTAAGTATTTGGACATTTCTGGACTTAACTCAACAATACTTATTCATAAGACGTCAATATCGGTTTTTTAAAAATTTCCAGACAGGTATTTTAAGAAATGCAATGCTGGGTCTAACAACTGGAAAAACTGGTAAAATATTCAAACTATTTCCGGCCGTGCAAAAACTAGATATATCATACAACAATTTATGGTATCTCGATGAAGATGCCTTTGAAACAAACTTAAATCTGTCAAATGTCAATATAGCACACAATTTACTGCCAGCTATACCTATAGAAGAGGGACGAAAGATACCAGAGGGACAGTCAAACTCATAGATCGAAAACAAACTGACAACGCCAAGGCCAGATGTGATGAATTTGCCCTACTTAAATAAATTGGATTTTAGTTACAACCGCCTTCAAACAATCAATAAAACATTTAGAAATTGGATGGATAAGAATAGTAAAATCTATGAAGGGACATTTGATTTGTCGATGGAAGGGAACAGCCTAACATGCACATGCGAAAATTCTGATTTCATTAGCTGGCTGTTCAGCACAAATGTCGTTTTTGATCGGGTCAATAAAAATAAAAATTTTAGCTGCATATTGACAAACGGATCGGAAAGTAAAACAGTGGTTGTCTACAGACATGAAGACTTTGGCAACTGCAAGAGCAAAAATTGGTTGCGCCTAGGAATAGGACTTCTTATTGCATTCGTGATTTTTACTGTTCCGCTGGCAATACTTTTGAATTTCCGATGGAAAATAACTTATTGGATATATCGTAACTTTCGGAGGGTCGTAGAACATAGATGAGAAAGATTATTTAATCATGATATTTACTTGTCATAATCAAACGACATTTGCCAGTGGGTTCATGATGATTTTTTCCCAAGAATAGAGTGTTTATGGCACATGAAAGTATGCATAGAGGATCGCGATTTTCTGATTGGAGTTGCTAAAGCAGATGAAATAGCAGATGATATTGCTGGTAGCAAACAAGCAGTAGTCATCTTGTCTGAGTCCTACAAAGATAACGAGTGGAACAAATTTGAAATCGAAAGAGTCAAGTTCGAAAAATGCAGAAATTACTTGCAGAAAATAATCATCTTAGTAAACGGAGCTACGGCTACGTGCGTTCCACGTGAGTTGGACGACATTCTACAAAATGTAACTATAATTGACTGGGCTGATAACGAGACAGACTGGGACAATTTACGGATGGCATTGTTTACTGATTCTTTTTAATTTCAGTAATAATATAATTTTTTTCCCGTGCGTCATTGATCGCAAATCAGCCCTGATTAATACATTCTAACTGTGTCTAAACTACTCCGGGAAAAAATGTTTGGACTCGATTGTATCTAATATCCGGCACGATGACGGAACATTAATAGACAGAGAAAATGTAGTTTTCTGTTTATTTTTTTGTTATTGCTATGATATCGAAGAATATTTATACATATATAACTATTTTCTATTGTGAGATGTATTATTTTCTACAACCGTTCTAGATTAACGGAGAAATAAGTCAAAATGCATGTCAAAATGACGAATTGAGTGAACCTTGCCTCGAATTTGTTTAATTTCTCCTTAAATTGTTCACATGGTGCGGAAAGAAAGGTACGGAAAGAAACATATTGACATAGAAATTGCAAAACTAGTCACTTTGAGCACCTCAATACTTGTATTTCTGCGTATGGAACGAAAGAAATGGGTCATGTCAAAATGGAAGCACCCGGTTTTGTCAATGTGTACAACCCGGTTTTGTCCTAGATTTCACAAGGCAGAACCCGGTTTTGTCAAAGGAAATAAAATGCATAATCGCATAACATAATTGAACTTCAGCAATTAAAAGGAGTTTGGTGGCTGGTTGGAAAACGACCACTTATTATTTATTTGAATCTGTAAACACTTGAATTCTTTCTTTATTGGAACAAAAATAATTAAAATTTTGCTTTGCATTTAAAAAAAAACTCTAATTGCGAAATAAATAGAAATAAAGGTTAAACCGCAAATTGAGGTTTAAGAATCTTTACGTTTATTTTTATATGAATTATGTAAATTTTAGTGTTTAAACTTAAAATTAGAGTTTTTTGGCCTTAAAAATTGAAGGACGAACATTTGATATGTGATTTTCTTGCACAACAGGATGGTTATCTTTATAAGTGATCCAATCTACCAAGGGGTGTAATATTTCCTATGATCGTTTCAAATATATCTTCTTAACGCTAAATGTTCATTATAAAGGCATGATAATCAGACAAATGTATATATACTTGCAGAATCGCCATAGAAAATGAATGTTTATGGTGAGAAAAGGATTACAATAATCATGCATTAAAAATTAAAATCTATCTATCCCTAATTGTAACTATAATACTAAGTATAAATTAGTATAATAGTCTCAGGCCATCGAGAAAATGCAATTATAATGATTATTTTATTAATAGTTGTATAAATAAACGGTTCTGTTATCTCTCCATTGTGTTATGATTAACATATTTACATTGGCGTTGGTCAATATATTATTGACAATATATAGGGACGGATTCAGGTTTTTTCAAAGTGGGCGTAATTCAATCAGCTTACACACCGCAGAGCGTTGCGAGGCGAACAATGTTTTGGACGAATTTTGCTAACTAAATCGTAAAAAAAAGATTTAATATTTTTTGGGCCATCAAAGGTGGCGGTGGGGGCGTGTGACCTAAAGGCCGCCTGGATTCGCCACTGATGTTATATAACTAAGTCGTATACCAACTTAAAATTTTATAAGAAATAAGTAAGCAGGGACACCCGCGAAATTGGATGTATGTGAGTAGGATTATCATGTTTATTCTAAAAATTCACATTTATATTTTGGAATTGTCGGAATGCGAGGCCAAGGGATGCAAATTCGTGGCGGCTTGAACTATTTGTATGAAGCTTCATATGTCAGAAGTAAGAAGGCCTGACTGCAACATACCTCGCACACAGATCTTTTATGTAACGATGTTTCTATCTGTCATATGTCCATTGCCCTTGACCTCGTTTTCATTTCAGCGATTTCCTAACAAAATGAATAGCTGATAATGGTTGATATCTATGGTCAAGGTTAACATTTCGTGTTCAAGTCCGTATCTCTAATACCATAAGTAATAGGTCAACTATATTTGCTCGTATGGCGCACATGACTATTTAAGTGACCTTGAACTTATTTTCTTGATTAATTGGTAAATGTTATCTTTTTTGGGGGGTTGGTTTTAATGATTGTAATGTGTTAATGTCCATCTGGCAGGTTATATCAGACCTTGACTTTTTTTATGGTTCCATGAACAATGTCAATTTTATGAGATACTTTTATTAAATTATTTATCTTACAGACCTTCAAAATAAATTCGATAACGATCTTTCCAGCAGTCGCGATATGTCAGTGCGTACAGTCACTCTTGTATAAATAATACGTAGTATTTATTTTTGTTAAAAAAAAACGCAATTAAAGTTGTTTTGTCATGTCTGATTAGTTTATCTCGTTCGTGTAAGCCTTAATTATAAATTGTTAGACTTTTTTTTTAATTCAAGAACGGTGCAATCTTGTTTGGAATTCTAGGTTGGTTTTAGCTCACCTGACCGCAAGGGAAAAGTGAGCTTTTTCATCACTTGGCCCCCGTCGTCTTCCTTTATTTTTTACATAATTTTCTCCTCTGAAATTACTGGGTAACAATACATTTAACAAACCTTGTCCACAATCTTATGTCGGTTTTAAAAGGTCTAACGAACTTATGTTTAACTGTTTTTCATCATCATTGGGGTATAAAGTTTCACTCAATTCGTCATTTTGACGTGCATTTTTACTTATTTCTCCGTTAATCTAGAACGGTTGTAGAAAATATTACATCTCACAATAGAAAATAGTTATATATGTATATATAATCTTCGATATCATAAAAATAACAAATAAATAAACAGAAAACTACATTTTCTCTGTCTATTGATGTTCCGTCACCGTGCC